AGACGCAAGTGCTTTTCACCTATGGGTTAGCTGGTTACGTGGGAAACAACATATACTACGCAGTTGCCTAGAAGATAATCTCATTAGAGTTTGGTGAGAAGCGACTGTGATTAGGACTAGTACGCAGCTGCAATGACCAATGACAGAGTTAAGGGGCATACTTTAAGTAAAAGAAAGGCGTACCATTCAAGATGTGTAACTTCAAATGCGACACTCTGATAGCAGAGACCGCTCAACGACATCTCCCAGAGGTGAATTTCAGTGGACAGCTGGTAACCAAACTTGCTGAGGCAGTACCTACAATACATTAGGTATCCCGTACGCACTTGAGTATTGATTCGTAAACACAGACCCTTGCCTTACTTTCTTTATTTCAGTGGGTTTCCTTCCCGGCTTTTCTAACGCAAAGGCTTTCAGTAAATCGGTTCCATACTACGCGTGCGCGTTCTGTTCTGTTCATCGGCTAAGGGCCATACATAACATTCCGGCGACGAGGTTAAACTACTGCGATGTTGCACATTCCTACACTACTTTGGAATATTCCTTTTGATCAACCAACACCAGCCACCTGGAACCGCACTTTATTGGATTACTTGGAGCTACTACCCGCCTTGTAGCCAAAAACGGTACTCTCAGAGAGTCACAAAATTAAATTATTGTGACAATTTCTGGGGGATGAAGGCCAAAGACATTTTGATGCCCTCCATGTCGGTGAGGGGACAGTCAACATCACGCTAGAAGTCCTCAGCGGGTTATGGGGTTCACGACAACACATTCACTGCGCGGTATTCTCTCTCGACCTTGCGCCAAAACCCTGAAGGAAGTGTCATTGATTTCATTGCGCGGATTCAGCAAGCCCTATTAGAGTGTCAGTATAGTGAAATCCCAGTTACGAAGTTCGAAGAGGCGATGGCATTACAGTACTTGATATCCGGTATCCGTAACGAACAGGCTCGTGAGTTGTTGTCGGAAGATGAGACGACGATGAGCTGCAATATTGTTCGACAACTGGAGAATGTCCATAAACAGTTAGCATCTTTTCCTCGCAACCTCATACAGACACAATCCAAGAAGTTAAACGAAAAGATGTTACCCTGAGACGGTCCGAATTGCATTTTACCTGTTACCGATGTGGAAGTCAGCATTTATCAGCCGAGGAATGTCGTTATAAACAGACTATCTGCCGCCAATATGGAAAATTTGGGCACTTGGTTCGAGTTTGCCGATCTAAAGCTCGCACAGCCGCGACATCCCGTTTCCCCAAGAAGTTCGTGAAGGTCGACGTCTTCAGACGAAAAAGACCGGCTGAACACGATCTGGAACGCAACGTCGAGCATCTACAGCATTCACCCACCCTACACTGTGCAACTGGAAATAGAAGGCCAGTTGGTTAAAATGGAAGTTGATACCGATGCCTCAGTTACCAATCAGTGCTGCATCAGTTAAAAGATGACCCAAGTTATCCCCTGTGAATCGATTTTGCGTACGTACACTGGGCAGCCGATACCAGTCCTGGAAAAATACACTGTTCATGTAAATTAGTAGGGAGAGAAGGGAACCTTAGAGGCATATGTTGTGGCGAATGGTTGTTCGAAATTACTCGGGCGCAGCTGGATTAAATACCTTCCGGCCACGCTAGAGACAATGACGTTCATGTCCATCAACAAGCGCTTGGAGGATGTGCTCAACAAATATTCTATTTTTGATGAGAAAGTAGGAAAATTGTACGGATATCAGGTTAGTAACAAATTACGGCCGGGAACTCAGCCAAGCTTTTTCAGGACACGTACCCTACCTTATTCCCTGAGATCCAAGGTGAAAGACGAGATAAAGAGACTGCAATTAGCAGGAACAATTGAGTCAGTCCAATACAGTGAGTGGGGAGCTCCGATAGTTCTAGTCCTGAAGCCGGATGGTTCTGTGCGTATTTGTAGTGACTATAAACTGTTAGTCGTTGTTTAATTCTGGATAAGTATCCTTTACCTCGGATAGAGGATCCGTGCGCTACGCTGGCAGGCAGCCAAAAGTTTACACAGATCGACCTCAGTCACGTGTACTTACAAATTGAGTTAGATGAGACCTCTCGTTCATGCACAACGATAAGTACACACATGGGTCTATTCCAGTACAAACGTCTGCGCTTCGGAATCAGTTCGGCCCCAACGATATTCCAAAGGATCATTGATAACCTGATCAAAGATATTCCTTTTACTTGCGCCTATCTTGACGATATTCTAATTACAGGACGTACAGATGCTGAACATTTACAAACGCTATCCACTGTGCTCGAACGTCTACAATAGAGTGGACTCAAACTGAAGTCCAAGAGTACATTTTTCTCAGATTCTGTTCATTACCTTGGTTACCGTCTCGATAAAAATGGATTACATGTGTTAGAAGACAAAGTAAAGCCCATCCTTGTCGTATCTGAACCCAAGAATGAAGTTGAATTCCGATCGTTTTTAGTGATGTTTTCTCACCATCGTCGCTTGTTACCTAACGCCTCAAGTATTTGCACCCTTGTACGAACTGTTGCACAAGGGGAAGCGCTGGGTTTGGGTTCCGGATCAAAGAAAGGCTTTCACAGATGCAAAAAGGGTGCTCAGCGTCTCCGCATATCCCATGCATTTCGATCCGAGCTAAACTCTAGTTCTGCAGTGTGACGCTTCCCCACGCGGAGTAGGCGCAGTCCTTTGCCACCGGACGGAAGACAATGCTCTTCGTCCAATCACTTTTGCTTCTCGTACCCTGCAACACGCTGAAAAGAGGTACTCCCAACTGGACAGAGAGGCCATAGCGATTATTTTCGGAGTCAAGCATTCCCCCAGTACGTCTGGGGAAGAGAGTTTGATATCCCCACCGACCATAAACAACTTCTTTCGCTTATGGGTGAGGAGGAAGGAATCCAGCAGGTGACTTCGCCTCGAATGCAAAAGTGGGCACTACTTTTGAGCGCCTGTAACTACAAACTTCAGTATGTAGACGGACCAAGTAATACCATTGCCGATGCACTTAGTTGCCTCCTGCAGCAGCATGGCACAAGAACGAATAGTGAACCCATGGAGTTTATCAATTTGATGCAACATATTGAAAAGACACCCATCCAGAGTAACGTGGTGCAGTGCTTCACGGACCGGGACCCTGTGTTGTCGATGGTGAAACGGTACTTGATGAGCGGATGGCCTACAAGCACGTCAGACGAACTGAAACCATTGAGTTGAGTCTATACGACGGCTGTATATTTCGAGGCTCGCGCATAGTTCCACCAGAAGAACTACGGCCCCAGTTGCTGAGAGAGCTGCATGACGCACACCCCGGCGTGAACAGGATGAAGGCGCTGGCACGTGGTTACTGTTGGTGGCCGAACATTGACCAGGATATAGAGCGGCTGCTGAAAAACTGCGAACAATGTCAGAAATACCAAAGGCAAAAATCTCCCGGACCGATACGTCCATGGCGTTGGCCGGAGAGGTCCTGGCAGCGGGTACACGCGGACTACTTTGGCCCAATCAATGGGTTGATGTGTCTACTTTTGATTGATGCCCATTCTAAATGGATAGAAGTACATCCAGTTCCACATGCGACTTCCGCAGCAACAGTTGCAAAAATGCGCTCCATATTCGCCATTTTCGGTATCCCAGAGACGGTATGCACCGACAACGGAACCCCATTTACCAGTGAAGAGTTTCAACAGTTTCTGAGTAACAACGGAATACAGCACATTAAGTCTGCGCCGTACCATCCCGCGTCGAATGGAATGGCAGAACGTGCAGTCCAGACTGTTAAGCAAGGTCTCCTCAAGCAGACTCATGGAATACAAACTAAGTTGGATCGTCTCCTGTTCTCTTACCGCACGACACCGACTGAGTCGACAGGGAAGTCACCCGCGGAATTAATGTTTGGTCGGCCACTACGAACGTGACTGCACCTACTTTTTCTGAACCCTCGAAGAAGAAAGGAGGAAAAGTAGGTGGATGAAAAGATGCCAGAGGAAATGTGTCTTAATGATTTTGATCCGGTATACACAAGACTGCCTCACGAAACAAGCTGGCAACCTGCTACACTCATGTCCTCAACGAGTAACCAAGCGAAGCTAAAGCTGGAGGACGGCCGTGTGGTGCGTCGCCATTTTGACCATATCCGGCCACGCTTAAACGAACCACAGGAGCGGGATCAAAAAGCGACTGCTACTGACCCAATAACGGACAGAGAATTTGCTTCACAAAAGCAGGAATCACAAACGGATGCGGTACAACCAGAAGTAAGACGCTCAAAACGCACGCCTAAGCCAATTGATCGGTATCAACCCGGAGTCTGTAGTCTTGAGCAGGGAAGAGAGGGGTGTCGCGCACGCGGTTGAGTATCGATTCGTAAAAACAGGTCCTCACATGATTGGTTGAGAATGACCTTGCCTTACTTTCCTTATTTCATTGGTTTTCCTTTCCGGTTTTTCCAACCGTTGTAACGCAAGATGCTTTCAGTAAATCGGTTCCATACTACGCGTGCGCGTTCTGTTCCGTTTATTGGCTAAGGGCCATACTTAACATTAGGAATGTGAGGAATGGTGTTCAGTTACACTAGATCAACGGTTGTACTATACAGAAAAAATACCAGCGAACAAATGAGCATACGAGCAAGAAAATATCCGGGACGATAGTATGTGAGGTATAGTGCTTGAAGTACCAACAGAATTTTTGGTTAGCATGAGAGACAGAGTTGAGAGAGAGGGGTAATTTTTCGGTCGACACCATCATAGCTTTGTGATTCGAATGGACAGTAACCGTTAATCGAACGAAAGCGGTAGGAGTTGACCCTTTAGGCGAACTAACAGGCAATAAACAGGACAAACGGTAGTCCCTAAAAGAAGCAGGTGGAAGTGATAAATCAGGACCAACTATTAGAATGGTCATCCAGACAATCCGACACATCAATGCCCACGGAAAGAACGGAATAGAAGTTGGGACAGCCCCAGAAACTCATGTTGTATAATAAAGGTTAAGTAGACAGATACCAGCCATAAAAGAAAGGCTATGCAAAAAACAAGCGCGACATAAAAAAGAACTGAATCAAATTGGAATTTTTATATATAAAATTTCAGGTAATACAACGCGTAAGCGATCAAGATCTAGGGAAGACGAGAGATGTTGGTTTTAAAGCCAATCTTTTTCCAAACTGATTATCAGACGTCGACACTGCGCTACCAAAACCAGTGAAGCCTAGTGATGGTGTTCCAGTTGACTGCTTCGAGAGTGGAGAGGCACCGAGAGGGTTCGTTGCGGTTGTGTTGGCAATACCAAAGCCGAAAAGTGGTTTGGTAGTTTGCGCACCAGCTGCTGGAGCGGTAAATTGAAACGAAGGGGCTGCACTTGAAAGTGTCGGTGCAGTCAGCGATGAAGTTAGGCCGAATCCAGCTGTAAGGTTGGAAAAGTAGAACATTAACCAAGACTAAGCATGGTGATCATGTGATCAAATGAGCGAACAGGTGCAGAAATTGTTTCTATTGAAAGCGTCAGGTTACGACAATATCCACTTCCTAGTGTTAAAAAACGGAAGCAAGATATGGTTTAGAAAAACCGGAGTGTGATGAATTAACGCTAGACGTTAGGACCAGGGCATCTCGCACCAAATTAAGATGACCTGGTATACCAAGGAGCATGACGGCGCACACAACTGTGCCAATCACATTATGAGGTAAAATCCTTTGTCTTCGTGGTTTCTGCGAGTACCAGCAACGTTGGGTTGACTGGTAGATTTTCGGTTCCTTCATCAAGTGCAATAGCGGCAATAATGATTGCATTTATGCGATTCTCAAGAGGACATGGTCACCTTTGACGGCCCATGACTTAGCTGATCGCTCCTGTTTAGAACGGTACTCGTGAATGGACGGTGTACCAGAGAAATATGAAAATGAATGAAAAATGAAATGTGTCAGCTTATACGCCGTAACGACGCTTCGCTGCCACGCGACCACCACTAGTCGCGCGCGGGCTGAGTATACCGCGAGGACGCCCACCCCTACGCGGAGACCAGAGAAATACATATGGAACCTTAAGCTAGCTACCTTCGTATCCGTACAAAGGAGTTGTGAAAAGCTGGACCTAACCGCCATGGCAGTTGTGGTTCGTGGTGGTTATCATGATTCTCGTTTCCGCACTAAAACTGCGGTCAGAACACTTATGGACGAATCTAAACTGGCTAAGCAACTCGGAATGTAGATAAAATGATGCTCCCGATGTGTCTTACATTTCGCCAAAAGGTTTTGGTAAAGAAATAAAAAAGTTTGTACGCTTAAACAAGAGTCTTGCCCCTTCGAAGTGCAACATAGCTAGTTGTTTGTCACTAGTCAAACGACAGTTAGACCAGCAAAGTTGATCAACTATGATCCGAGCTCTGAATTGCGGTAGATCGAGTTGCCAACACCCCAATGAACAGAAATACGAAAAATAACGATGAAATGTAGTTGTAAGCAAACAAAATATGAACAAAATGTAATCAAGACAAAAGCGCGCAAATCTAATCGGGGTGGAAAGTTTACAGCTATACGCAATAAACCGAATGCCAGATAGATACTGACTGCGCGACTGCGCCATGACTGATACTTTTCAACCACTAGTGTGGACAATTCCGAGGCTCCATCCACGAAGACGGCACGCACCAGCATGACTAAGTCTCTCAGTCAACCTCTTTAGGCCTTCATGCCACGTCAATGACTGGCCACCTCGCACTTTTGCCCAAATGTTGGTGGACGGCCAATCCACCGTTTGTCAAAACGCTTGGAGCGTTGGGCAGAACACTTTGCAAGACAGTTTAACCAATCTGGATTATCACTTTCTTTTTACGGCAATGAGTACCCTATTCCATAGGCCATCTCCCTGGTCCTGCTTTCACGTGCAACTGTCGAGCGTGAGACCAGACGGTTAAAACTGAATAAGGCCGCAGGGGCAGATAGAATCCCTTCAGTTCTCTTCAAATTCAGTGTACCTGCTTTTGGAGATGATTTACACGACTAACTAGTGAAACTTTGAGAGCAGAAAACTATTCTAACAGACGGGAGCCGCTCCGCCATAGTCCCAATTTTCAAGGGAGGTACCCGTTCGGAATGCGGCAATCATAGAAGCATCACTCTGATCTCAATTTCCCCTAGTGCTTGCGTCTGTCGTTCTCCACAGACTGACTGGCATTCGTGAAAGCCAGATTTTTGAGGAGCAAGCCGGGTTTCGTCGAGGTCGGGGCTGCATCGATGAATTGTTGAGGCATCGTCATATTTCTCGGCGAGCCACCGTTGTCGTGATTCACGAAATCAAAAGTGCCTTCGATTCGGCTGATCGATGTGCCTATTGAGACTGTCTACTTAGGAAAGGTGTGTCCGAAAAATATGTAAACATTATCAGAGCGCTATACTCTCGCCGTTCGGGCAGATTGAGGGTTTATGGCAAACTGTCGCCGCCCTTCAATATCTCCAGCGGTGTAAGACAAGGTTGTCTGCTGTCATCTTTCATTTTTAACTTCTCCACTGACGAAGTCATGGAAGAAGCGTTCACTGGACATGACCTACAAGATGTGGAGCTACTTCCTGGTGTGCGACTTCTTGACTTGGAGTACGCGGTTGACATTGCCTTTATCTGTGGCAGATCCCAAAGCTGCCAAACAGCGTGGGACCGATTAGCACCGGCTGTAAATCATTTTGCGCCATGCTTTGCTGCAACGAAATGCAGTCCTTCTCCAAGATTGGCAGCGGCGCGCTCTGTGCTAACCCTTGGTGGTGGTCAGATAGAAGTCGTTCAGTAATTCAAGTACCTGGACACCTATAGTAACGCCGTGGGATCGAAGATGAGGTCACGTACCGCATAGCAAAATCTTGAGGTGCTTTTGGCAATTTCCGTCAGCTATGGTGCCGATGCCAAGTCATTCTAGCATTGAAAGGCAAAGTTTATAAGACATCTGTCCGTCGAACCGTCTTATACAGTTGCGAAACCTGGCCCATCAGGTCGATAGACATAAAGGGGCTAATCACGTTCGATAATCGCTGCCTTCACAGTTTAGCTCATGTTTGGTGGGAGCAGCACGTGAACAATGAGTGTGTTCGGCGTTGTGTATTTGGTACAGGAAGATCGAGTGTTCTGTTCAGCACTGTTATAGCACGCACCAGGCTCCGATAGCTGGGCGACCTGTTGCGCACGCCAGCTCACCGGCTCCCGTGACGTGCATCGCTTGTGTTCCGGGAGTGCGGTTGGAAGAAGTGGAGGGGAGGCCAAGCGATGATTTGGTCGAGAGAAATGAAACTCCTCAATTCGAATTTAGCGTCGGTTGGTGCATCCCGACTACCTGGCTAGGGTCCTAAGGACGATGAACACGTTTGCTTGGACACAGTTGCTGATATGGCTAGGAGCCGGCCCCAATGGCGTTGGTGTTGTGAGTTCATTTGTCCATCCCCCTCCTGCTTAGCCTCCCCTCAAATCACGATCTCATTCGTTAGGCATAATCTAACTGTTATTGTGGCCCGATAGCCGACTGTTAGCTCTCCGGAACGATGCTCATCTGCTTCTGAGGGCTCAGCCGGTGTGCCTCTGTTGTTTTTTCTTCTTCTTGTCCTTTGTATTGCAGCACAGTAGCTGAGGTGTTTCCAGCCTGCAGAAGAGTTGGTTAACATTAAGGAGTGATTCTAGTACATCACTCCTTAGTGTTAATCAACCCTGGAAAAAGCGATAGAATAGCAATCAAGCGGGTGCAAAGCTCATTTACTAAGTGATTACAAGAGTCACCTATAGTTAACTATCGCGGTATATGTAAACAGTACTATCTAGATCTACCGGGACTTCGCAGGTTCAAATGTAACCTCGTATTTCTATTCCAGATGTTGAGTAACTCCAATATGAGTACTAACTTCATTGTTAATGGGCGATACCCATTACGAACCGGACCGCAAATAAATAAGTGGTATACTGGCAGTTGAGCTGTTCGCTGAGCATGGCAATTTCGTTGCAAACGTTTCGTCACCAATCGAGGTAACATCGTCGGTGCGTAGTTGCGTGGCGTGCAGTGGCGTAGAGGGTCCTCTACGCCAGGCATCCTCAACCTTTTGAACCCTTCCTTTTGTCATGGCCCCACACCTTTGATCACCACAATTGCAGCAATGCGCAACGCCTAACAGACGTAAAGCTGTGGTTTCCGGTGCTCATACTGACATTTTTTGATGATGGCAAAATTATTCATGTTGGTATCACTGTTCTTTTCTATTTAAAGCATTTTTAATTTCTCAGCTCAAGATAACATTCATAGTGCGGCCACTTGTTTGTAAACATACGAAAGTCATTACCAATATTTAAATTGGTATTAAATTATTGTTTGCTTTTAACTTCGGGTCATCCGAAACAGGTTTACGATGGGATAGCCTCAGCGTTGTTCTACAGAACACAAACACTGTGCACGATGGAGGAGGAGGAAAAGGCCGCGCGGAAAGTGGCAATGCGCAAACTATGAGAAAGTGGTTACCCACGGCGGCTAGTCAAACGCCAATTGCATAAAGTGCTAAACCGACAGTCAAGACCCACAACGGAGTGGATAGGGATGATAGGAATTCAGTACAAGGAAGGCAGTTCGGCGGATACTAAACGAGGAAAATAATAGGGTGGTCTGCCATCGAGGTCAAATGCTACGTACAGCGCTGATATTCCTTAAGGACCCTCTACCCAAGGATAACGACTGTGGTTTGAAAATTAAACTTAAGGACTGTACACAGGTGTTCAGAGGCCAAACAGCGAGAGAGTCACGCACACGAATTTCAGAGCACAGGAGGCGCATTTCAAGACCGCAAAGTAACGAGTTTGAATACCAGACAATAGTAAGAGACTCGGCCGTGGCTGTGCATGCCTTAGACACGGGTCACCAAATCGACTTGAATAACGGAGAGGTCATTGAAGGGGTACATGACCATGAATCAGCGGTGGAAATTACCAAATCTGACAGCCGTGTGAATACAGTGGGAAGGGTAGAACTCGCTAGTGCGTGGCGAGCGATCTTAAGCCGACCAAGCTGACGAGCGTCGATGCGTGGATCAGATTGGAAAGTGTCATCCGACTCCCATTATCACCACTACGGGCTTATCCGTCAATGCCATGACGCACAAAGAAACATATGGACCATTCCCACTGTGAGTGAACCACTTGAGGTGACATCATGAACTGTGAATGTGATGACACCTTGGCTCAAATCTAGGGTAAGTCGGTTCTCGCCACTCCAATTGCACGCTGGTCTGAGGAAGCCCTTGTGTCAAGTGAGAAACGTTGCCAAACAACTATACCAACTGATTGTTTCCAAACTTCTCTGCACTCATTTTGAGAGAGGGCTGCCGTTTCCATCTTTGAAGTACGATGGGACCACAAAGTTTCGCGATCAGCTTGCAGGCTTTTCT